TGCCCGCTGTGGCGACGTAGTACGTTGCCAATAGTAGTGTGGAGCTCAGACATCGGGGCATCCTTGTACTGCAGGAGGACGTCACAGGAGTCGGGCTCACGGAGGACATATTCCATGTAGAATAGCGGACGGTCGGTGTACTTAGTGAGTAGATCGAGACGTACCACATTGCCGGAGGCCACCTTGCCCGGGGTGACCAAAGGGCTGTTGTACGTCGCATCCGACTCTCCGCTAGTGCTTGCGAGTTCTTCATAGATGGATGGCTCAGACATGGAGATGTCATCTGAGGCGATATCACAGGTGGTCGGATCTGTAGCTCGGCCACAGCGTGTGTGGCCAGGGTGGTCTGTGACATCAGTCAACTGAGGTGGCTCAATGCTGGAGATGCCGTCAGCGGGACAGACGCAATCAGCAAGATGAAACATGTGTTCTGATGATCGTTGTAAGATGACCACAGCGGGATGAGCAATAAATCGCGGCTTACGGGAGGCTATAGTGGTACTGAGACGTGAGATGAAACCCGATGAGGCGGGGATGAGGATGCAACTTGAAGGGAAGAGAGGCGGAGGCCACGTACTCACGGCCGCCTTATATACTGCGGTGTCAATTGCAATTCCAGGCATTGTAGCGTAGACCCTCGAGGAATGCTGCAGACAGCTGTGGGGCAGGACTCGATCGAGCAGGCAAGCATTTGGGAAAAGCGCACCGCTAGTATGGCTTCCAGACCTTCCAAAGCGGAGTTGCCAGATATATCTGCAACAGGATATCAGTTCTAGTGGAATAAAACGAATATAACGGGCGGTGTAAACGGTTCACATCTGCCACAACACGCGGCGTACTGCCCAATAGAATCAGCGGAGTACAACGTCTTGCTAATCTGAGTTGAAAAGTCACCAGTCCTGGGAATTACTGATGGTTGAGCCAGTTGAGTTTGCTGTCTAGGCTAGACAGCTCCAAATGCTTCGAGCTGGGATCCCGCCACTGCCTTCCAATACACGAGGTCAGGACATGGACTGGACCCGGGCCGCTGAAGACAAAGTCCCGGTGACCATATCATACCACGGATACAATAGAGAATGGTGCGTTGCAACCCGGACTAGAAGCTGCGTCCGAGGGGTCGAGTATAAAGCGCGAATGCGTGCTACATGTTTGGAGTGAAGATAGATATTGTGCGCACAATATGGACAACAACGCACTTGTTTCATTCGCCAGCACGCTTAAGCACCATTTGTTCCCTGTATTGTTAGGGTGAGGCAACGGCAGCAGAGGAAATCTCCGTGGTGGACCCACCGACATCCACAGAGGGTTGCGGTGGGAACATCAGTGGAGCAGCAGTACACCTCGTAAGAGGGCTGATCTCGGATGAGTGGCATCATGCGGGAGAACAAGGGGTGTTACTGCCCACAATTGCCTCGTTACAATCGATTCCGTAGTTCCGTAGGTCTCCGGGATGGATCTTGCTACAGTGCGCCCTCACCGCCCGGCTTTCTGATTTATTCCCGGTATGTCGAAGCCGGTATCTCCAAGGGGACCTGTTGAATAACAAATACTGACTGAGACAAGCCTCACCACCGTGCATACCAGTGTGTTTGACGTCCTGGACGGATCGTATAAGGCAAGAGAGCTCTTATAGTTGGTACCGCATCCGAAGCCGCGGCTGAGAGTGGCTAGTACATGTGTCCATGAGTTCTAGAGTAAAGATCATGTTTATCGCAGAATATCTGGACAGACTGAAGGGATACTTACATCTCAACGGTGCCCTGCAACGGATGGAGCTGGTCGTCACAAACAAAAATAAATGTATAGCCGCCAAGAGGAGGTAAGCGCCGTCGGCCACAGCCGCGCTTAGAGTGCGTTTGAACTCCGCCACCGTGTTCAACGAACAACATGTCGTCTACGGCGAGCACGCAGGCAGGGAGCAAGCGATGGACATACTTTCATTCCGCCCTCCAGCTCGCGATCCAGCGTGCGGCACACAAGTGGACGTGAGTCGCATATAATGACTTGTAGGCGCATCGACACGCCACTCACGCCCGTGTCCGACAACGCCCCTCGTCGTGGGTGCTCGCAGCTATGAGGACTTTGCAGAGTGTTTCTCGCTCTGGTGTGACGAGCAGCCCGAGAACGCCGCGACGATATTCAACCTCGTCTCGAGCCGTCTCGAGTCGTCCATAACGGTGCGCCTCAGGTACATGTAGACGGAAGACGCGTATTGACGCGTCCCTCTATCCCGCGCCTTCATCGACAAACATGAAACCGAACAGGAGAACAGCGAGGAGCTGTTCAAGAAGTACAACGTGAAGGAGAATCTCGACAACCTTCACGCCGTCGTCACTGCCGCGCGCGCACGGAAGCAGGCAGGCTACGACGGCAAGGACGTGTGGAGGGAGGACCTCCAGCCGCGGGCGGCCGTTAGGGCTCGGACCATCCCTCTCCTCGAACAGGAGCGCGATCGCCTTCAGGCGGAGTTGAGTCAGGTACTTGCCGTCAACACGTCTGCGAATTGCGCAGGGCGTTGATATTGATGGTTTGGTTTCTTAAGCTTACGCAGGAGAACCTAGAACTGCAATCTGAGATGCAGCAGAACGTGCACACCAAGGAGGAAGCGGATCGGGACGCTGCAAGGCTGCTTGACGTGCTCGACAAGGTGGACTCATACGCACCCATCCGCGCATTGTTCTCTTCTGACCATTTCTCTTCGTCTCCAGGCTCTGGCGAAGTGGGACAAGATCCCGTGGCAAGATGAGGACGGTCCCGAGACATGGACGCTCAAAGTAGCAGAAGAAGCCGGGAGTCGAGCGTAATCGAAGTGTTGATGACTGTGCTTTGTACGATACAATGTCAACGTTCTCCTAAGCGAGGGCTACATCACATGTGTCTATGTAACATGTATGGCACTGAACTAGCCGAGCCCTACGGCGCACCATGTACTGGGATCTCTGCTTTTGGAAGACAATTGTAGCTTCGATTATGATTAACGTTAGGGGTACCATAGATCCAATCCGCATTCCGGGTCCACTACATAGCGACTTGGGCATAACGACGAGTGCACATTCCGCACCTACTCCACCAACTCAACCTCAACCTCATCATCGTCCTCGTCATCAAGCGGAATGAACCTCTTGCCTTCATTGCGCTAATTGTCATGTCAGATCTCGATCGCAAACATTCAAGGAGGAGGAAAGGCACGCAGTACTCACCGAATGATCGTCAGGAAGCAATGCGCGCCTATCCTTCAGACTCATGGGCTTGCCCGCACTCGAGGGTGTGAGACTCGGAGTCCTCATGTTCGTCTGACGGTGCGGCAAGGTGGGTGAGGTCAAGCGCAGCGTCCCGGTACGGACGAGACGATCGAAGACAGGAGTGATAGGGGCCAAGGCTGGAGGCTGGATGACCTGTTCGACCTCGGGATGCCGTAAACGTGGGGATTCTTTGCGGCTCTGAGTCTGCGTAGAGTGGGTGCATGCAACGATCGGCAAATCTCGGCCACCAGCAGGAACGGTCGGGGTTGAGGCGTGGTGTACCGGCGTACTGCTCATGTTGCGGGGCTGCGTGTGATACATGCGACTGGGTGTTGAGACCGAGATCGGCAGACGGGTAGTCGCGAGCGTGGGTTCTCGTGAGGGCATTGGAGAGAGAGGGGCGTCTGCATATGCGCGCCCTGTCACCGCGGTCATGGAATTCTTGAAGTCAATAGAGCGGATTATGGGTGATTGGTCCGGAATTTGTAAGTCGGCGAGCGGTGGGCGCAGGAAAATGCTTCGCGAAGAGCGGGACATTATCTTTGATAGCGGTATCTCCGGAGAATGCACTGGCGTGGGGCGAGACTGAGCAGGCGAAGGGTGTATGCGCTCCGGCGTGATCGAAGAAGGGCGAGGAAGCAGCGCAGAGGCAGAGACAGAGACCGAGGCAGAGGCAGAGGCAGAGGCAGAGGAAGACTCATTCAGGCGTCGTCTCTTGTGCGCGCTGAAAGGCGGGATAGTATCAACAGAGTCAGATGCACGAGACCGAATTCGTTTAGCGGCTGAAATTTCCTGAGGCTGCCTAGACAGTGCAGTAGCAGCAGCAGCAGAAGTAGTATTTGCGGAGGTACGGTCGCTAGTGCAGACATTGAGCCGTAGATTGGATATGTGGTCCCGGACCTGGTTCCGCGCATTTTCGATGTGGAGAGGTATCGACTGAAGCAGAGGGAGTACAGGCAAGAGAGCGGCAAGTATCTGGCTTTGCTGGTCTTGCACACTCTGTAGAGCTTGGGACTGCGTCTGATTAAGCTAGCGAAAGCTACATTGGACCATGAGCGCATATACAGAGAACATGTGACAAACCAAGCTCAGCAAGTCTATCTTCTTGTCCAAAGCGACCAACCGGTCGCAGAGTGCACTTAGATCCTTTGAGACTTCGCGAACCTCTGGAGCCTGCGCTGGGCTGCCTATGGTTTTCTGCAGCTCCGTCTGGCAACGGTTAGCTGGATCAACGTAACAACGTAAATCAGTCCCCTCTCACCCTCAATAAGCCATGATATACATACTGAGAGCAATCATCCTTTCCTCGAGCTGCTCGTGCTCGTCCTGATAAAGTCTTTGTACAGTAATTAGCTCCTTCTTCGCATCCTCAAGGCCAGTGGTGACTTGCGTCACTCGGTCCGTGAACTTTTCGAGATGAGCCTGTGTGTCGTGTAGAAGAATACGAGTGGACGCCCCGGCTTTGTCGAGAGGGGCGACCGTAGGTGCAAGTTTTCCAAGTGTGCTGCTAGTCGACATCGTAGATGGAGGCAGCTGAGAGGGTTTTTGTCGCAATAGGTGTCCCCATAGCCCTGAAGAAGCAGAATGATAGTCTGACCGAGTAGACATGTCCGTAGGGCGTGCAGAGTGCATGCTGGACCGTGTTGTCTGACTCTTTCACAGTCTTGATCAGGTCGATAAAGGCGAGGAGGAAGAGAAGCGCTTTGCTTAAGCCGCAACAAAATATCTCCGATGGTTTAACAGCGCTCTTCTAATTTGTCTTTGTTAGTATATCGGTTAGTACACGCGCTTGTCATACTGCGTGCGACCGCGCGAAAGCGGGGTTCGACTCCCCGACAGAGAGTTTTGTTTTTGGCTTTAGCACTTGCTGTTCCAGAATCACTCACTCGCTTGCAATCTCGCAACTCTCATGTCACCTTCCTCCTGAATCTACTAGGACACAGCTGGCCGCTCTATGGCTTTCTCTTTGTTCAAACTGGGTCGTTTCTTACGTTCCATCTTCGTCCCTACCGCGTCGATCATCACCTTCTCTTGCTTGCTCACTTTCATTTTCGTGCTCTACCAACCGACCCCGGGACCTGGCAGCGTCCAGAAGCTTGGATGGCAGTCTTGGGAAGTTGTCGAAGAGTGGTCGGGAAAGCCTTCAGAGGCGTTGGGAATACCAAGCACGGGAGGTACTAGTGGGGAAGCTGGAAGCGTGCCGGACGGTGTGGATTGGTGGAATGTGTCGGCTGCGTCGGAGACAGTCGACGCAGCCAGTCTTCCTCTCGATGTCTGGGATCCTCTCATGCAACATGACACCGGACGTGAGTAACTCTAAGGTTTAAGCACCGAGCCCGAAGCTGAACGTGCCCACGCAGTGTCCGAGATACACATCACGGAATGTTTCGTCGACCCATGGTACATGCCCTCGGTTGCGGCGGACCTGTGCTATCCAGCGTCGACCAAGGAAGACGATGCGCACAAGGGCAAATGGGTGCGTGTTGAACCAAACTTGAAGGAGCAGTTGAGTATGAAGAGCTTGGTACGTCCCATTGCCGTTGCCGTTGCCGTGGCATTCTCTGACACAACGTATAATATTGAAGAACGTGTACTACCGTCGAACACGACGGCATGACATCTCTCTCGTAACTGACTTGCGCGTCCTTCCGGAGAAGGAGACTCCGTCGCCGTTCAGCCAGTCGTGGCACAAGGTCGCGTATCCAATCAGTCCAGGAGGGCAGAAGCGCTACTTATGGTATAGGACGGAGAAGACATGGCGGGAGATGACCGAGGCGGAGCGCAAGAACAACATCGTCACAGAGATCGACGTGCTCTTCGGGTCGGACCAGCCTTGGTACGGGTTTGAGAAGGTCGAGCATGCAGCGTATGATGGTGCGGGGAAGGTAGAGCCAGTATGGTTGACGTACCGGAAGGGCATCAAACGTGAGTATATGCGTCTTTTTTGTCGAACTCGACCTCAACGAGCCTCAATGGTTCCCTTCAGCACCCCCTCGCGCGCCGCCTCTGCACTTCTCTCGGGACGGCAAATTCAAGATCATGCAAATTGCAGACCTGCACTACTCCGTCAGCGTTGGGGAGTGCAGAGATACCGCCATCTCCCCATGTACCGCATCCGACAACCTCACCAACACCTTGCTGGGACGCATGCTCGACATCGAGAAGCCGGACTTGATCGTCTTCACCGGGGATCAGCTGAACGGACAGGGCACTTCCTGGGACGCACGCTCTGTGCTCGCAAAGTTCGCGAAGGCAGCGACCCAACGCAATATTCCGTGGGCAGCTGTGTTTGGCAACCACGACGACGAGGACGGCGCGACTCGGGAGGCGCAGCTGAAGTATATGCAAGGCCTACCGTATAGTCTAGTCGAGCGTGGACCGAAGGACATTCACGGAGTCGGTAATTACGTGCTCAAAGTCTGGAGCGCTGACCCGTGAGTCGTACGATCATTGGGACCCTCATCTGCTGGTTGACACTCGTCCGTAGATCGAAGACTCACCTCCTTACGCTCTATCTTCTTGACTCGGGCGCGTATTACAAGGGCGTCTTGGATTGGTGGGGCTTTTTCCATGGAACGGAGTATGACTATCTCCGCCAGGACCAGCTCGATTGGTTCCTCCAGGAGTCCTGTATGTCTTTCCACCTCCTGCGCTGGGCTGGGGACTTGCTCATGAACTTTGCATAGCGTCTATCGATGCAATCGAACGTCCATTCTCCCCGGACGGCGCTAAAGACCTCGGAAGCAGTTGGCGCCGTCAAGCAGCGGGACAGGTACTCCCCGGTTCACGGCGTCTGGCCAAACCCAACGCCCTTATGTTTTTCCACATTCCTCTGTGAGTTCTTCCGAATATCCGTGAGTCGCGTGGCCTTACATGTCGCTTCTCGCAGACAAGAGAGTGACTCTGCGGCGGACATGAACCCCGCGACAGGGCAGCCACTCGACGTAGGACAACATGGCTTGGAAGAGAGTGGAGCCGCAAAGAAATCAGCAGGTTTCTTCCATAAGGGTTTGCTTCAAGCGCTCGAGAGCGACCACCGCGCGGGTGGCAACCTCCCAGAGGTGAAGGTCGTTGGAAATGGGCATAGCCATAGTAGGTCTTCTCGCTTCCTGAGACGACTGGCCCTGATGATTCTGCAGTCACGGAGAACTGCAGGCGTGTCAAGGGTGTCTGGTTATGCTTCGGGGGTGGAGGGTACGTGCACATCTAGCCCAGTATAGCGATGCGAATGCAGCTGATCATACCCATGCCACTTCCCAGATCTTATTCTGGTTATGGCAAGGTTGGGTTCGATCGCCGGTTCCGGATATACGATATCTCAGACTACGGCGAGACCATCCGGACGTACAAACGCACAGAAGCCGACGAAGTCGTAGACGACATGATCCTTGCCGGAAGGGGGGCGCCGCCTCCATACGAAGGCCTGCCGTGAACGACGTCTCGCATGGACGGTGGATGTGGCGCATGTGGTTGGTGTACGATAGCGGTCATGGGGACAGACTGTCCGGTAAAAATCGCGCCAGGTATCGTGTGTATGAATGGATTAATCTGCAGCGTTCCCTTCTTGCACGGACCACCTGTTCGATGGGCTGATTCTGGGGTTGCAGTGTGGTCAATGAATCACTCTTTGTGGGTCGACAGTACGATGTGGCAAGTGTGCGGCTGATGCATCCTCCTTCTGTTCGGGTTTCCGATGGGCGTGCGCCTGCGATATGGAAAAATTTCGTCACAAACTCTCGGAATCTGGAGTTGAGCGCGTGGTGGCGGAATGTTGCAGACGCCAGAAATTCGCTGTGAGTGGCTTGATACCCGTAACATTCACGAATCTAAAATTCCATTTGATAGATCCATTCTCTACGCCATCGCTGAGAGTAGTCCAAACGTGATCGGTAGTCTTAGAAGAGAAGAGAAAGACATCAAATTTCACGGCCACGGCCGCACAGGTGAAGTCATGCAGACGTCTTACATCTTAGCAGTAATAGAGTGTACAACATAAAGCAGCAAGTAGCGCGGGCAACTGTACCAATACCGCCTTCGCCTCTCGCAGCCATGTCCAAGGTCCTGGGATCTACTATGCCCTATTTCCTGATAGCTCTGGCAATCACAACTGCCCTCTACGTCAGGCGGGTCCGAAAGACGAGACGATCTGTGCCCTTACCACCTGGGCCGCTGCCATTGCCGCTGATTGGTAATGCCCTCAATATGCCTAGACGGCATCTCGGACGAGAGTTTATGGAGATGTCGAAGAAATATGGTATGCGGATTGATCTGTTGACAACCGTGGCTCAGGGTTTGGTTCATCCATCACAGGAGATGTTGTCTACCTAGACGCCCTCGGCCAGCCTTTGATACTCCTAGGCTCCTACCGAGCAGCGTCTGACCTGCTCGACAAGAGATCCTCCAACTACTCTGATCGGCCAGCTTCGTTCATGGTCCAGCAGTACGTTTCACTCATCCTCTCGAGTGAGAGAGATATAACAATACCGTTCGCTGCAGGGTAGGCTTTGACTGGCTTATGCCTCTGATGGGGTATGGACAGGAATGGCGCCAACACCGCCGTGAACTTCATCGGGTGCTCAATCCGGAGATCATCGTGGAGTACCAGGATATTCAGCTGATGACCGTGCGCAACTTCCTGCGGAGCCTTCTGGAGACTCCGCTGGATCTATCGCAACACCTCAAATTGTGAGTGTCTACTGTGACCTCACGAGGGGGTGACATTGATGTTGTGAGTCAGCGCGTTCGCAGCAATGATCATGCGAATCGTTTACGGCATAGAGTTGCGCGAGCATGACGACAGGTATTATCAAATGGTAGAGAGGATGGCTCAGGTTGGCGAAGAGATCAGCGTGCCAGGGCGATTCCCCGTGGAATCTGTCCCACTATTGCGATTCTTGCCGTCGTGGTTTCCCGGGGGAGGATACAAGAGATTTGCTACCGCCGCGAAGCGCGATATACACTTTGCGATCAGCAACTTGTTCGACACAGCAAAGGGGGCCATGGTCAGTACCTCGATTGTAGACACGGACGGGCCATTAGTTGATGAGCACTGTGGCTGTCCAGGACGAGGGTTCTGCCAAAGAATCCTTCGTTACCCGGCTTCTGCAGGGTAACGGCGTCAAGGAGGGCGAAGATGCGGATCTACACATAATCTGCAAGAATCTGGGGGGTTCGGTCTACGTCGGTACGTGGAAGCTACCTCCTGATCTATGAAACTGTAGATCCTGACAATTCGAACAGCTGCTGCTGACACGGTGAGAGGAATCCGATATATGGCGACTTGTGGCGTCACCTCATATGTCTTCTAGACATTTGCCACAATGGAGGGGTTCTTTCTCGCGATGGCTCGCTTCCCTGAAGTGCAGAGGAAAGCGCAATACGAGTTGGACTCGGTCGTCGGGTCGGATCGACTTCCGGAATTCTCGGACAAACCCTCGCTACCATACCTCAGTGCGCTTGTCAAGGAATTGCTCCGATGGCACGTCGTGACTCCCATTGGGGTGCCACACCGAGTGATGGACGATGACGAATACAGGGGTCACTTCATTCCGGGAGGAGCAACGATCTTCGTGAACGCTTGGTGAGTGCGGCCCATCGCCCTTAAGTGGTCTCGAATCTCACACATTTCCCGGCATTGTAGGGCGTTGTCACGAGACGCTGACATTTACCCGGGAGCGGAGATCTTCCGCCCGGAGCGTTTCCTCATGAATGGTCAGTTAGCACTTAACCGGAAAGACCCAAGCGATTATGTGTTCGGGTTCGGGCGGAGGTACGCAGGATATCTTTTCATCCCGTCTGAATCGGTCCGCCTGCTCAACAATGATCACCAGGATCTGTCCCGGG